AAGAAGGGCATACTGCTTGTTTTAATTTAGCATGACTCCATGCTCAGGGGTTTCCTCTCCTGGGGGGGCGGAATTTCCATCCTAAGTGTTGGGTCCAGGTCTCATTTTCTAAGTCTTAGGGCTTCACTATATCAAAGGAAATATAATATAGTGAGTAAGCACTTACATGGCTTAAAAAACAGAATCACCTAGGCTCGAGTTCTGGCTCAGCCATTCAATAGCTCTGTGACCTTGAGTAAGTTATTTAACCTCTATAAACTGTAAAATGGGGATAATAGTAACTATCTCCAGGACTGTTCATTTAATCTACTTACATTTTTTACTGAGCCTTGTGCCAGGTCCTGGAATACAGAGTTGCAAGGTTTAAAAATTTTTTTTAAATGCAGTATCCCACTCTGTTCTCCATGCTGGAATGCAGTGGCATGATTATAGCTCATTGTAACTTCAAACTCCTGGACTCAAGAGAGTCTTACATCTCAGCCTCCTGAATAGCTAAGACTACAGGCATGCATCACCACACCTGGCTAATTTGTTTGTTTGGTTTTTTTTTTTTTTTGTAGACACAGAGTCTTGCTACATTGCCTAGGCTGGTGTCAAACTCCTGGCTTCAAGTGATCCTCTCCTTCAGCCTCTCAAAGTGCTGGGGTTATAGACATGAGCCATGGAGCCTGGACAAGAATTGCAAGGTTTAAATGAAATAATACAGGTGCTGTTCTTGGCATGGGACCTAGTAGACAATAAAGGCTCAATAAAAAAGAGTAGTTGCCCATTGTAGAACAAAATCTTATTTCGCTCATAGCTGTCACTAGGGAGGAGATGGGAGTGAGGTGTATTCTGAATAGGAGGGTTCTGGAAATGACCTTGAATAATTCAGCATCTCCTTCTGCCTGAGTCTAGCCCTCAATTTCAAATAATCACAGCCAACATTTCTGTAGCACTTAATACTCACTTTACATGTGTTAACTCACATATTCCTCAAACAGCTTCCTGAAGTGGGTTGTGTTACATCATCATTTTACAGAGGATGAAGTGAAGGCCCAGAGACATTAAAAATTTGCCTGAAGCCGGGCTCGGTGGCTCAGCCTGTAATCCTGCGCCTTTGGGAGGCTGAGGTGAGTGGATTGCCTGAGTCTGCGGGTTCGAGACCCGCCTGGGCAGCGAGACCTCATCTCTACAATAAATCAAAAAAATCAGCCGGGCGTGGTAGCGCATGCCTGTAATTCCAGCTACTGGGAAGGCTGAGGCGGAAGGATCGCCGGAGCCCAGCAGGTCGAGGCTCGGTGGCCGGAAGCAGCCACTGCACTCCAGTCTGGGCGACAGAGTGAGACTCCAACTCAAAAAAAAAAAAAAAAAAAAAAAATTTGTCTGAGACTCCACAGCTAAAAAATGGCAGGGCTAGGATTTGAACCCAAAGCTAGTTTGACTCCAAAGTCTGTGATCCTACTGCCTGTCTTGACCGCCACATTGGGTTTGTCTCTGATTTCTGCACCTTGTGTCTATGCAGCTGGCTCTAAGTGGCTCCCGGAAGAGGCACATTCAGGCAGGGCATGGTTAGAAAGGCTGTTCTGGAAGCCTTATTTGGAGACCCTGGGATCCCTGGTTCTTCTCAGGGGTGTTCCACAGATCTCCACCCACTATACACCTTTCCTGCTGTGTCTATCTGACCTCACCCAGGACCAAACCAGCTCATCCTGAAAAGCAGCACTTGGGAGTCAGGGGTGGAGAAGCTGGTTGGGTAGCCTGTGTAGGAGGCAGGGCCATCTTACAGCCAAAGCCCGAGCTATCATTTTGGCAGAGCCGTGGCTTTGCAGTCTTGCCTCTTGGTTTGGCTGCCTTCAGTCTGAGTATGACCTGGCCCAGTCGCCCTGCCCCCTGCCTGCTGGCTGTCTGAGGTTTGCTGCAACATCCCTGGCAGGAGCCACCCTCAGACTCAATGGTTGTGAGCCCTGTGCTGTGGGACAGGGCCCCATGCTCAAAAGGGCCCAGTGCTTGAGTTAATGCCCTGCTGTCTCTACCCTGAAATTCTATTTTTTTCCCCAAGTCAGGCTCTCACTTTGTCACCCAGGCTGAGTGCAGTGGCACCATCCTGGCTCACTGCAGCCTTGAGCTCCTGGGCTCAAGCGATCTTTCTTCTTCAGCCTCTTGAGTAGCTGGGCTTACAGGTGTATATTGCAATGCCTGGCTAATTTTGACTTTGATTTTGATTTTGATTTTTTGTAGGGACAATGTTTCACTATGTTGCCCAGGTTGGTCTCAAACTCATGGGCTCAAGTAATCTTCCTGCCTCAGCCTCCCAAAGTGCCAGAATTATAGGCATGAGCCACTGTGCCTAGCCTACCATCTCAAAATTCTCCATACGTTTTTGAACAGGAGGCTCTGCCTTTTCATTTTGCAGTGCACCTGCAAATGATGTAGCCAGTCCTGCTCAGACCCCACTAAAGCATTGGAGCACATGAAGCCTCCTCAAAACACTCTGCAGGAGACCACAGGGCAATGAACAGCAATCCTAATTTCAGGGTTCATGTTTGTGGGGTCAAAGCACACTGTAGACTGCAGGAGTCCAGAGTACAAACTCACATATTCCTGGGGATGATGTGAATTTAGCAGATTCAAATCAGTTTTTTCAGTTACTCCCATAAATAAAATGTAACACCCATTGACCGTGCTGTTGCTTACTAGCAGGAACCTTAGGGCTGGGGGTCAACTTGACTTAAGCAGAAAATCAAACCCGGTCCACCTGCTCCTTGAGGTCCTTTCCACCTGCCTGTCACAAGCCTGAAAGTGCTTATTAAATCCTTCCTTGAGATCCTGCGAGTAAGCAGATACCTGTTCAAATGTAAACGTGGTTTCAGTTTCGAACATCTCTAGAAGCTTGCTGCCCCGGGTAGCAGCCCTGCCCCACCTGCCCCATCAACCCCGATTTCCAGCCTCTCCTTTCCTCCTGGTCCCTTCCCTTCTGTCTTCCATCTAACTGAGATGTCCCTACACTCACAGTCCTGCAGCTCAGACAGTGCCTCCCCAAACGTTCTCCTTCCTGCCTCTCTTGGCCCGTATCAGATGACGCCAACTCCTTACCTTCAGTCCGCTTCCTCCCCACCTTCCTGCTCTCTGGTTTTCATCCTCTCAACTATTAGAGCTGCCAGATAAAGATCCCCCATCGTGGTTCACAGTTTCATCAGCCTGATCTCCTAGAATTAGAGCCCACTGATGACTTTTGGAGGCCTGAAGTGCTTTTGCCTTTGGCTTCTTCTTTTGTTAAAAAAAGTAAAAATTATATTTTACAGTGGTATTGATATAAAGATGAGTATAATCACATCTGGATTGTACTTGCTTTTTAAATTATTGTTTTAAAACATATTAGAATAGGGCAATCCCTTCGGGACCCCTGCCACTATGGGAACTTTTCTGTCCTTTCAATAAATCCTGCTTTAAAAAAAGAAAGAAAAAAATACATATATATTAAAATAGAAACTTCACGGTCCCTAAAGTGTGGTAGGCTCTAGGTACTATGCCTACTGAGCCTAGTAGAGAAGTCAGCTCTGCTTTGTAGGGCTAAGTACATTTGGGTGAAGCCCTTCTTGAAATATTTTTTCTCTGAGAAACCATGTTATCTCTTTTGATATTGTTGCTCTTGTTGGAAAAACAATATGGTTATAAAGAAAAATTTAATATTAATAAAAACAACCCCTCATAATCCCAAATCCTACCACAGCTCCTGATTTTCATGTGTGGGTTGACTTCCTCTTCCAGATGTGAAACTATTTTACACAACTGGTGGCCGTTGTGTTTATGCAGTTTTGTATTCTGCTTTTTCCATGTAACATGATTTTACTGAAAACAGTTTTCATGTTTCTATAATAGTTGTCATAACCATCACATTGACTTACAGTGATTGACTTGCTTTCCCCCCACTGTTTCTCAATTCTCCGCTTTAAGTCTGTTTTCTTGCTTCCTTTTCTTCCCTCCATGAGTTTAGTCTGAGCGGCCTAATCTTTCTGTGAATTCTTCCTCCAGGAGGTCTGAGTGATGACTTCAAACACCAGTTTTACAGGGTGAGGAAAGCAGGCTTTGCAGATAGTTTTGCACTTAGTGTTTGATGCTCTTCGTATGTGACCTGCTCATGCATGGCACTTGTATTTGAGAGCCAGTCAGGGGGCAAGATCTTGTTAAATCCTATGTTCTAGTAATGGGATCAGATTGTCCGGGTCTGACAGTACCTTAGACGTGGTCCAGTCTAACTTCATTATTTTACAGATAAGGAAACTGAGGCTCAAAGAAGTTAATAGACCTGATCACGGTCATAGAACCAGTGAGCAGCAACTTGAAACTCAGTTCCTTGACCCGCAAAGTTTCATGCTCCTTCCTCAACATCATGCATGAAGAGGGACTTTAGTTTACAATGCTGTACCATTAGAATATGCACTTGTCTTACAGAAGTATATTTATGATAACTTTGTTCCATCTTTTATTTTAACATTACTCTAATGGGGAAAAAAGAGAAACTTTACAACACAAAGTTTAGTAAGTCCATACTTTAAAATTATCTGGTCCATTATAGAAGTGCTTAAGTGACTCATGCTCATACAATGGTTAACTTCACTTGTTCTCCCTCTCTCTCTTTCTCTTTTGAGTCAGGGTCTCATTCTGTCACCCAGGCTGGAGTGCAGTGGCATGATCAAGATGCTCCCGACTCATGGCTTATGGCAGCTGGCTCAGTCAGGTCCTTTCACCTCAGCATCCTGAGTAGCTGGGACTACAGGAGTGCACCACCACACCCACCTGTTTTTTTTTTTTTGGTAGAGGCAAGGTTTTGCTATGTTGCCCAGGTTGGTCTCAAACCTGGGTTCAAGCAATCCATCCACTTTGACCTCCTAAAGTGCTGGGATTATAGGTGTGAGCCACCATGCCCGACCAACTTCACTTGTTCTCTTAATGGTCACTTCGTGGTCTGTTGACTCATTTATTATTTATGTTTCCCACAGACAAATAAATTATCTTACCTGTTTAGAGATAAGGAACAGACCAGTCTTTGTCCCAAAATAACGAGGCCAACACTGGTACTAGCAACCTATAGACAATAAGAGCAGTCATTACTAAGGTGAACAAATCTTTCCATTTTGACCACAAATATAATTTCCTATTGTGGAATCATCATAAATCCAATTTTCTCTCTTATTCTAAAAAAAAACTGGAAAGAAATAAGTCTAAAGATCCTACCTTGGCCAGGCTTGGTGGCTCAGCCTGTAATCCCGCCACTTTGGCAGGTCGAGGTAAGAGAATTGCCTGAGCCCATAGGTTTGAGACCAACCCAGACAACTTGGCGAGGCTTTGTCTCTACAATAAGTCAAAAATTAGCTGGGCATGATAGCACGCACCTATAGTTCCAGCTACTTGGAAGGCTGAGGTGGAAGGATCGCCAGAGCCCAGCAGGTTGACACGGGGGTGGCTGTGATGCCACCGCACTCCAGCCTGGGCGACAGAGTGAGACTCTAACTCAAAAATAAATAAAATAAAATAAAATAAATATCCTATCTTGTAAGTAGGGAAACTAACTGTAAAGACTTTTTGTTTGAAAATCTTTGAATTCCTTTATTCTTTTCTCCTGCTCTCTCTTCTCTTTCTTTGTGTGTGTATATGTGTGATATTTTGATTAGGTTCATTGTATTAGTTTGTATCATTTGGCCTTCATCTACTCAGGTAAACTCAGGTAAACTTAACATTTCAAGGAAAAAAGAAACTCAGGCAGCTGGGTGTGGAGATTTTCGCCTGGAATCCCAACACTTTGGGGGACAGAGGCGGGAGAATTGCTTGAGACCAGGAGTTCAGAAGACCAGCCTGGGCAACATAGTGAGACCTCATCTCTATGAAAAATAAAAAAATTAGCCTGGCAAGGTGGTGCTACTCAGGAAGGCTGAGGTGGGAGGATTGCCAGAGCCCAGGAGGTCAAGGCTGCGGTGGCCATGATGGTGCTGCTACCCTCCAACCTGGGTGACAGTGAGATTCCGACAAAAACAAACAAACAAAAAGACCTCTGTCATTTCTGATCCTGAGGGGTTGAGTGTGTATGAAATAGAGACTGGAGGGCAATTTCACAATGTGTGGGAGTGTGAGCACTGGCCTCCCATCCTCCCTCCCCCATCTCAACTCTGTCCTCACTCAGCTTATGTATCACTCCACACCCCTGCAAACATTTAGAAGTTGCTGGCCAGCTGGCCATGGTGGAACAGGATTGGCATCCGTAGGCTACCTTGTCATCTCCCCAGACTTACAAAGTCCATGGAAACAATGGTTTCCACTGTGGAGTTCTTGGGCTGGGTGAGCATCATGATGGATGCAGGGATGTCCAGCGTGAAGTTGCCTGGCTGTAAATTGATCACCGGAGGCTCCATGGCCATGACCCTCACCATAAAGGGTTGTGACAAGATGTAGATCTCTGCGATCTGCCAATGTTCCAGGAAAGAAATGAGGATTAGGAAACGTGAGTTGATGAGGGGAAATCACAAATTTAGGGTGGCCTGTGGTGATAAACTCCTACACTATACAGGCAGAATAAAAAAAAAAGCTCTTTAACAATAATAGTGATAACACACAAAAACACACAATAACAGCTGACGGTTATGAACACAATACTTCATGCCACCCACTACACTAGGGGCTATGTGCATTATCTCATTTAATCATCACAAAATCCCTGTGAAGTAGATTCTGTCAGTATCCCTGCTTTATGATGAAGAATGTGAGTCTTAGGTTAAATGATGTTCTCAAGTTCAAGGAGAATAAATCGTAGAACTGGGATTCAAATCCAGGTCTGTCTGACTCAAGATCTTTGCTCTAAAACCAGAATGAGCTGGGTATGGTGGCTCATATCTGTAATCCCAGCATTTTGGGAGGCCAAGGCAGGAGGGTCACTTGAGGCCAGGAGTTCAAGACCAGCCTGGGCAACATGAGACCACACCTCGTCTCTTGTTAAAAAAATTAGCTGGGTGTGGTGGTGCCTGCCTATAGTCTCCAGCTAATCAAGAGGCTGAGGCAGGAGGATTGCCTGAACCCAGAAGCTGAGGCTGTGGTGAGCCATGATTATGCCACAGCAATAGATTGAGACTCTAACTCAAAAACAAAAACCAGGATGGTCATAAACATTATGGTTTGTTCTCAAGGGCAAACCTGAGCCTGTAGGTACATTATGCATTATGTTCAAGACTTAGTGTGCTATGAAGGCATGATGCTAATAGTTGCTTTACTAAAATCACAAGTGTGGCACTCATCTTTCATTTAAGGATTTAATCCTTCATTTAAAGGAATAAATCCTTTATCTAAGCTAATTATTTTGAGAGTGGTAACAATCTTGTGGAAGGAACAGGTGATCTACTTTATGAACTTAAAGTGTTTTATTTATTTATTTTTAAAATTTTAAATTTTAAAGATGTGGAGTACAATTCAGGTTAAGTACATAAGTGGTCATTGTACAAGTGAAGCTTGGGTCTCCCCTTGATCCCCACTTCACCTGGTTAACTTACAGTGTTTTAAATTGTAGCTTAACTTGTACTGTTCAGTAAATACTTGTGGATATTTGATTAAGAGAAAAAATTCCTAATAATGGAAAGATAGATTCATGCTTGGAGCCCAAAAGAATATAAAGAACCCCCCAAAATCTTCCAGAAATAATTGCAATGAAGACACCTACACTATCATGGAGTTAAGCCCCGAGGACTCACCCGAGAGATCACGTTGCCAAGGCCTTGAGAGTTTTGAACGAAATGGTTGGAAATCTGGAAAATAAAGACCATCACATCACTGCAAGATTTTTTTACCTGGATTATCTTTTCAAGGAAAATGCAGTTTCCCTTAATTTTATGAACTGCGAACCTGTTGCATCATAAAATGTCTAGTGCTTGAAGGTGACTTATCATTTTATAGCCCAGCCATAGGGAATCTGAGGCCCAGGGAAGTAAAGTGACTTGCCCAAGGTCACATAGGAAATTTTATTCTTTTTGGCCTTGAGAACACTTTATACACTATCCAGGTGTAAACATTCTACAGTCATTTACAATAAATCTTGTGTTATTGTTCTTATTTAGAAATTACTGACACACAGGATATTTAAGTAATTTATCCTCACAGACGAATGGTTTTCAAGTCTGAAACTAGAAGTGTCTAATTCTCAGATGCAAGGAAGCTGGTCCAGCTACACTCACCATTTTGAACATAAGATTTATAACTACCTTTGTCCTTAGTATGCATAGAATGAGAAGATTCAAAAGGGATGCTCAAAAAGAGTTTTTGGTTGACCGACTGGAGAGAGTGCTCTCATTATACAGGGGAGGTGCATGGTGGAGAGGACCCATGAGTATCTACACTATAATGATCATTGTAGATAAATCAGGTGTAATTACAGTCAGGAGAAATTCTTTTATGTTGGAATAACACAAGCAATAGTGATGATGATGATTTACGATGATCAGCAACTGTTATAGCACTGATTCTATGGTGGGCATTGGTCTGAACACTTTATGTGTATTGAAACATTTTAATGCATGCATCAACCTTATGCATATGGAATGATTATTATCCCCTTTCCAATGAGGAGATCCTGGTACATAGAAGTTAAATAAATTGAAATGATCTAAGATCATTAATGATAGAGGGGTATTGGCATTATTTTAGATTAATCTAGAACAGTGGTGAGGTATCATAAAAATATTGGAATTTAGCAGATTTGGAAACCCAACCATTCCCCATCTAACACAGGTTGATCATCTCTAACCTAGAAACCCAAAATCTGAAAGGTATTTCCTTTGAGTGTCATGTTGGCATTTAAAAAGTCTTCGGTTTTAGAGCATTTGAGATTTTGGATTTTCAGATTGGGGATGCTCAACCAATAGGTGTATATAATGCAAATATTTAAAATCTGAAATCCGAAACACTTCTGGTCCCAAGCAGTTCAGATAAGAGGTTCTCAGCTGATAACAACATTCATTCCATAATTCTTTCATTCATTAATTGTTTTGCTAGGAACAATAGCCTAATAAGGTCCAGGAATCGAATCTGTGACATAAAAATCCCATAAGATACTTATAAAAAGGTTGAATGATGGCCCCAATTTTTATCCTCCGCTAACTCTCCTCACCTCTTTGGTGGAGAGAGTGACATTGAAAGCCCCAGCTGTGAAATAAGCCAAAGACGCAGATTTAAAGAAATACTCGGATATTCCAATGTAGAGCATAGAGTCGCTGCGTTCTGGGAGCACAAAAGGAATTGGCGAGAAGGGGGGATCAGCGAGGTTTTCTAGTGGGTAGAATACACCCTGTGGGAAAACAGAAAGACCAATGTATCAGTGAAAACTCAAATGTACAGGACTAGGAAGGTGAACACTTTCCATTTAGAATAAGAAAAATTCTAGAAACTCATAGGGATTAAAAAAAAAATGATAAGGCCTTCTGACTCCTTGACCAGTGACTATGTTCCAAAGCTCTGATGGTTCTTGAGCATATTTGGGTGTATCTGTTCACCCCAGAATGTAAACCAGTGAGAAGTTACACTCTTCTCAGACAAAGGAAAGAAGTGCCTTTAGCTGGAGGAGACACTGCTGGTAGTTCCTGAGGTGCCATGTACTGGTGTTAAATCCTTGAGCTTCAAAATCTGTGTCTAAAGAGTACCTGAGGAGTCATAGAAAGACCTGGAAGACTCCAAATGGTTGAAAGCATTTTTATGGCATTTCCAGTGCTGTTCTCATTAGCTATAGGGCATTATTACAAAATGTTGCCTTGAACTGACAACACTGAACTGATCTGAAAGTCTCTGGTGAGTGAAATATAAGCCAATATAAGCTTTGGGGCAAAACTAAACATAAGCACAATGATCATTCTTCCAAGATCAGGGAACACCATTTATATGTGCTTATAGTCCCTGACAGATGTCAGCAGCCACTAACGCGAGAGTTAGAAAGAGAAGTACTCACATGTACCACCCATGTGTTGTGTTACATTACAATAAATGCAGACTACCATACTTGCCTCCTAGCCTCAAACCGACTTCTGGAGGTAAAGGCATCCTGATACTTCTCTTGAAGAAGGCAGAGATATATTGTGCAATCCAAATAACCACTTGCCCATCTATAAAATGTTTAAGAGTCTTTTGAAAAGGTAAAACATGAAGGAGTTGCTTGAAAGAAAATTAAATTATTTGAGGAGCATGTATGTATATTGCCTTTTGTACATAATCTTTGTTCTCTAAATATTGGCTGTTGACAGCCAGGAGGATGACTTTGGTGATGATAAAGTTACCTTCAAATTCAGGTCAAGGTAGTTCTCAGTAATTTCTGGAGAACTGATTAGGGAATAATCCAGCAGCGTGTAGTTGTCAATCTTGGTTAAGACTAAATAACCAACAAAGAAAAAAGAAAATCTACATTCATTAAAAGTATAATATAATATATGAATAATGTCTATCCATAACACTATACTTTTAAATTCTCTGTTTAAAATATCAATTCCCCCTTTTTATAAATAATACATGTTCACTTTTGAAAACCAAGGAAAAGTAGATAACTCAAAAGAAGAAAGTGAACATCCTTCTCAATTATATTACTCTGAGAGAAACATCAGTAGCATTTTGGTGCATACATTCCCCTTCTCAGTGGGAGATAGGTCCCAAGACACCCAGTGGATGCCTGAAACTGTGATAGTATCAAACCCTATATATACAGTAATAAATGTTATGTGAATGTGGTATCTCTCTCTCTTTCTCTGTCTCAAGTATAGATTGAGATATTGTAGTATTTTTGGATCACAGCTATACTGCAGAAAGGAAAAGCACAGATAAGTGGGGACTACCGTATACCTTTTTAGGTGCACACACATACCAACACATACAGTGCAAACAGAAATTCCTTGCCAATATTAAGTAGTATATATTAGGTTGGTATATTGAAAGACTTTTCAGTTTGATGGTATCCATTGCTATGTAGTTGGAACATCATTTTTAAAAAAATTACAATTAGCATGCATTACTGTTTTCACTAGAAATGTTTTGTAAAGAGATAGGATTAAGATGGCTGACAAGAAGCAGCTAAAATGTGTTCCTTCCATGGAGTGAACCAAAATAGAGTTCTTCAGCACAAGAGGAACAAGATAAGCAGCACACCCACAACTCATCATGGAAGCAACAAGATCCACAGAGAAAAATTGATCAGTTTAGGTTGGAACCAGTCAGACTCACTTGATTCATTGCACAAACTATGAGCAGTCTTGGGATATAGCGAGGGAGGTGAGTGAAAGGAATTTAGGAGTTTTGTGGTCCTGCCACAGATTTGGATGGCTCCTTGAGCCTCAGAAGACTCCAGTCTCTTTTGGGAAACTGCCTTACCAACAGCTGGGCTCTGCTGAAACTCATATGGAGCAGTCCAGGCAAAAAAAAAAAAAAAAAAAAAAAAAATGCCCCAAGCAGCTACAGCTGCCATTTTCCAGGAACTTAACCCTTGCTAATGGTTACATTCTAGCCAGCCGAGAAGGGAAGGGAAAGACTTGATGCTTTCATTTGCCACAAGGGCAAATTCTGCTGCAGCAGACAGTTCCTGGCTAGGGAAAGCTCTGTGAGAAAACCTGGGACCTGCTGCACTTCTACAATTTGAATATAGACTGCCTGAGGCTAAGGCAGGAGAGCTGGATGGGACTCATTGCCCTAGCAACCTTTCATGTAGTGAATGCTTTCCTGTAGTATCTGCACAATATAGCAGTATTACCCTAGCACCTGGGAACTCCTTCCCAATCCCCATCAGGGTAGCCAACTGAGCACATAGATGGAGAGCTCAAGTGCTTTCCTCCCATACCTCCCTTAAAGGCTCAAAACACACAGGGAATTTGACTAGTCCCCATAGCCCCACCCATCACTAGGCCAGCTGGGTACTCCCTTGGAACAACACAGGCCAAGCAGAAAGCTCACAGCCTCCATTGCATCAGGCTCTCTTCTGCAAGCACCGTCTCCTGATCAGAGATCAGTCAGCACAGTCCATTACATTTGATATAATACCTCAGCTTTGGGGAAGGTCTGATACCAGACCCTAGTTAACACCACTAGCCAAGCTACCTCAGCCACTCAGGATGCTTTGAGCCTGTGCAAGTACCCAGCACAACACTGCCACAGCTGGAAATTGAGAAACTCCCACACCAAGACTATATATAACCAAGGGAACCCTGTAGTGCCTATGTCAGCTTCCTGCCAACCTAAAATAAGAAGAAATAGTCTACCCAAATGTGAAGAAACCAGCAAAATAATTCTGACAATATGAAAAAACAGAGTTCTCCAACACCACCAAAAGATGATAATAACTCTTTAGCAATGGACCCTAACCAAAATGAAATCTGAAATTCCAGAGATAGAATTCAAAAGATTGATTATAAAATTGCTCAGTGTTATTCAGGAGAAGGTTGAAAAGCAACATAAAGAAATAATAAAAAAAAATTCTCCAAAGAGATGGACACTTAAAACAAACAAACAAACCCACCTAAGCTGAACTTCTGGAAATGAAAGAATCATTTAGGGAAGTAAAAAATGCAGTGGAAAGTTTTAACAGTAGACTAGAGCAACGTTCTCAGAACATGAAGACAAGGCTTTTGTATTAACCCTATCAGACAACAATAAAGAAAAAAGAGAATAGAACAAAGTCTCCAAGAAATGTGAGATTATGCAAAATGTTCAAACCTAAGAATCATAGGTTTTCCTGTGAAAGAAGAGAAAGCAACAGTTTTGGAAAAACTATATGAGGGAATAATTGAAAACTTCCCTGGTTTGTCAGAGATGTAAACATTCAGATATAAGAAGCTCAAAGAACCCCTAGAATATTCATTGCAAAAAGGTCATCCCCAAGGCATGTCATCAGGGTATGCAAAGTTAATGTGAGGAAATAGAACCCCTAGAAAAACTATTTGAGGGAATAATTGAAACCTTCCCTGGTTTGTCAGAGATGTAAACATTCAGATATAAGAAGCTCAAAGAACCCCTAGAATATTCATTGCAAAAAGGTCATCCCCAAGGCAAGTCATCAGGGTATGCAAAGTTAATGTGAGGAAATAGTTCTAAGAGCAGTGAGACAAAAGCATCAAATAACTTACAAAGGCGAATATGTCTAGCAGACTAACAGCAGACTTCTCAGCGAAACTCTACAAGCCAGAAGGAATTAGGGCCCTATGTTTGATTTCCTCAAACAGAATAACAGTCAGTCAAGGAGTTTGTATCCTGCAAAACTACGTTTTATAAATGAAGGAGAAATAATGTTTTACTCAGAAAAGCAAATGCTGAGGGGATTAGTCACCACTAGACCAGCTCTACAAGAAATACTCAAAAGAGTTCTAAACATTGAAACAAATGGTTGAAATACACCAGCAGAAAAATACTGGAAATAACAAAACTCACAGGGCTTATGGAACACCGTAAGAGAGAAAGACAGAGGAAAAAATAAAGGAACCAGGTAACTACCAACATGATGAATGGAGTAGCATCTTATATATCACTGTTAACCCTGGATGTAAATGGTCTTAATGTCCCACTTAAAAGATATAGAATGGCAGAATGGTTAAAATAACACAATCCAATTATCTGCTGCCTTCAAGAGACCAACTTAACACATGAAGACTCCTTTTTTTTTTGAGTTGGAGTCTCACTCTGTTGCCCAGACTGGAGTGCAGTGGCCACTCCCAGCCACCACAGCCTCGACCTGCTGGGCTCCAGTGAGCCTTCCGCCTCAGCCTTCCAAGTAGCTGGAATTACAGGCATGCGCTACCACACCCGGCTGATTTTTTAATTTATTGTAGAGATGAGGTCTCTCCAAGTTGCCCAGGCGGGTCTCGAATCCACAGGCTCAGGCAATCCACTCACCTCGGCCTCCCAAAGCGCGGGATTATAGGCTGAGCCACCGAGCCCGGCTATGAAGACTCCTTATAGATTCAAGGTAAAGGGGTGGAAAAACCATTTCACACAAATAGAAACAAAAAATGAGTAGGAATAGGCATTCTCATGTCAGGTAAAACAGACTTTAACAACAGTGAAAAAAGACAGAGAAGGTCTCTGATCATAAAGGGATGAATCCAGCAATAAGATGTAACAATTTAAAATACTCGTACATAGACACCTAACACCGGAGCTCCCAGCTTTATGAAACAAACTCTACTAGACTTAAGAAATGAGATAGACAACAATACAATAATAGTGGGAAACTTCAACATCTCATTGTCAGAAATAGACATCAATAGATCATCAAGGCAGAAAGTCAACAAAGAAACACTGGAGTTTAAGTGGACCCCAGAGAAAATGGCCCTTACAGATATCTACAGAACATTCCACCCCAAAACTACAGAATATACATTATTCTCATCAGCACATGGAACATTCTCCAAGACAGACGACATGGTAGGTCACAAATCAAGTCTTAGTAAATTCAAAAAAATCAAAATTATGTCAAACACCTTTTCAGATCACAGTGGATTAAAACTAGAAATTAACTCTAAGAAGAACTCTAAAACCAAACAAATACATGAAAATTAAACAATCAGCTCCTGAATGATCTTTGAGTCAACAATGAAATCAGGATGGAAATAAAAAAAATACCTTGAAATAAATGACAATGACACAAATTATCAAAACCTCTGGGACACAGCCTAAGCTGTGCTTACAGGAAAATTTATAGTGCATAAGGCATACATTAAAAAGACTGAAAGATCACATATTGACAACCTAACATCATGCCTCAAGGAACTAAAAAAACATTAACAAACCAAACCCAAAGCTAACAGAAGAAAATTACAAAGAGCAGAGCAGAACTAAATGAAATTGAAACTAAAAAACAAAAACAAAGGATCAAGGAAATAAAATCTGGTTCTTTGAAAAGATAAACTTAATAGACCACTAGCTAAATTAATTAAGAATTGAAAAGAGAAGATTTAAATTAGCTCAGTCAGAAATAAAAATGGAGACATTACAACTGATACCATGGAAATACAAAAGATCATCTGATATTATTATGAACACCTCTATGCAAACAAACTAGACTATCTAGAGGAAATGGATAAATTCTTGGAAACATGTAACCCCCAACCTTGAATCAGGAAGAAAGAGAAATCCTGAACAGACCAATAATGAGAAGCAAGATTGAAACAGTAATTAAGTCTCCCAACAACACCAACAAAAAAGCCCAGGTCCTGATGGACCCACAGGCAAATTCTGCCAGACTTTCAAAGAACTGATATCAGTTTTGCTGAAGTTATTCTATAAGATTGAAGAAAAGGAAATTCTTTCTAACTTATTCTACAAAGCCAGTATCACCCTAATACCAAAGCCAGAAAAAGAAAAATAACAACAAAAGGAATCTACAGACAAATATCC